TTGTGATAGTGGTGGCGGTGGAGATGGTGGTGGTGGAGATGGTGATAATGGTGATGGTGGTGATGGTGATGTTGGAGATGGTGGTGGTGATGGTGGAGATGGTGGTTATTGTGATGGAGGTGATAGAGGCGATGGTGGTGGTGGTGATGGAGGTGATGAGTTATGGTAATGATAATTGTGTCCCTCAGGGCCCCCTCCCTACCCTCGGGACCATGTCTTAGAGCAGTGTGTGGGAGCCGGAGAACAGTAATGCCCGGGCAGTGGTAGTTTGCTAAAGGGATCGGAGATGATATCCTTATGGCGCTTCCCTTTCTCTGGTAAATTAATCGTGATAGCAGGGAGGACTGGTGGTTTCTAATGTCCTCACAAAACCAGAGAAAAACTTGATCAGTTTTGTCTGGGCTTATGTCCTCTCCCACCTTGGTCGAAGACGTTACTGGTCTGTGAAATCCCCAAGTCTGGAAACTGCAGCTACCTGGCCCGTCATGCTGCCCTTCCGAACGCTCTCTGGTAAACACGCACACGCACACCCGTGTTTGGGCACATACACTCCTCTTAGCTCCTGGACCCTGGGCCCCCTGACCCAGCCAGGGACCTGCACCAGTCAGCCCGCCTGGCCCAGCGGTTTCCTAGACAACCAGCACAGAAATGCCACGTGGGGGTTTAAGCAGCAGAAACAATTAAGAGTCATACTGGCAATTAACAGCCCTGCGGTCCTTCAGTGGCTCCATGAGCCACTCTGTGTAACCCACTTGTCCCTCCAGGGCCTGGACATGTGTGGCCCCAGCGTGGACGTCCCAGGGTAGCCCCCAGCTGAGTTGCCTGCTCTGCTCCCCTCTGCACTTGCTTTAACTCTGGGGCCACCTTGGGGCTGTCTCCAGGTGGACTTGGCCAGGGAGAGTGCGATGGCGGGTGTGCAGGGGGCCACGTTTGGTCCTGATGCCAAGCGTGGGGGGCAGTGTCAGCCCACGGGTCGGTGCTTCACCTGCAAGTCCCATGTGCTGCGCCTGCGGATGCCCCGGGGGTGCTTTGGGGTCCTGTGCTGGCCCTCAGGCTGGGCAGCCAGCTCAGACATTGCGCATCTGCTCAGTGTCACACAGCAGGTCTGTGAGTCCGTGTTTTGTTGTTATAACTGAATTAAATTCCAGACGGGTCATTTATAAAGAACCAAGGCTCATTCCGCTCACGGCTCTGAGGTCCTGGAGGCTGCGCCTGGTGAAGCCTTCCTGCGGGAGGGGACCCTGCAGAGTCCCACAGCCACGCAGGGAGTCGTGTGGGAGACAGGCACGGGCCCTAGTGGGGTCTCTCCTCCTCCTCTTTTGGGCCACCCCCAGGACCCCATCTAAGCCTAACCCTGCAAATGCCATCAACATATGACCAAGGCTGGAGTTCCAGGTGACTTTGAAGGAGAAGCATGTCCCCACCCCAGCATGATATGGAGAGAGGAGGCCACGTCCCTTCCTGGAGCATCCCTGAGGTCATGGAGCGTCCAGGCCCTGTCCCAGGGGTCAGGGAGGGTGGCTGGTGGCTACAAGGCAGGTGCTGAGCTGACCTGCATGGTGTGGGCGTGTGGCTTTGTCTTGGTGACCGTTACTGCTGCTGTCCATGAGTTGGTCAGGCACCTTCTTCCGTGTGCCCAGGTGGCCAAGGCCATCATGCAAGGAAGGGCAGTAATGATGCAGGAGGGACAAACCTGAGCAGAGGACGAAGTCCCATTAGCTCTTTACGTCTGTGGTTGCTTGACTCCTTCTCCCTGTTTATGTGAGTGTGACAAAATGACCAACTTAGATAATTGGCAACTTTGCTTTTGGCGATCTGCTTACCGTCTCAGCCGCCCGCTGCTCAACGCTCAGTTGCTGAGTCTGTGGAACGCCACTGCTTCCGGCGTCTTCCGTGGACGGGCACTCTGGTCCTGCCAGGGCACTCTCCTCGCAGGCCTTCGAGCTGCGTGGCCTCAGGCCGAGCGGGCAGTGCTGACGAGGGTGCCCAGGCAGTCACCAGGGCAGCGGGACGCCTTCAGTGTAAATGAGACTGCTCTCCCGATGGCGGGCACCCGTGGTCCTGCGCAGGGCGTGGAGGGCAGTGCGTGCAGCCCTCCCTGGACAGGCCTGGCGGTTCAATGGCCAGCGGCCCCAGCGGCACTTCCAGAGGGCCTGAGCAGAGGGGCCTCAGCAGCGTCAGCAGTGGACTCAGCCACGGAGGCCGCCTCTGCTGGGAATTCATGCTGCGGAGCTGGGCGTTTGGGGAAGGGGCCGAGAGCCGTGGGAGCCAGGCCACAAGGACCCCCGTTGCCCTGCTGCCCGCTCAGGCAACATGGCTGCTGTCACAAATCTTGAGTTGCAGCCTCAGGGCGCAGAGGGCTTCTTTTTGTTCCCACAGCCCTGGGGAGCAGAGACTCACTCTGCATTTCACCTGGGGACCCCACCACCCTTAGGGCCTCCAGGTCCAGAGCCTTAAGCTGACAGAGCAGGAAAGGGAAGAGAAGGGGGGTGGCTTCTCCAGAGCCTAGGGGTGAAGGGCCCTGCCGTGCTCACGCCCCATTGGTGAGAAGGAGTCACATGTCCACACCCGGGAGCAAGGGCAGCTGGGAAATGTAGTCCCAGGCTGCCCACCTGCCCCCTTCCCGCCTCAGGATTCCCTGCTCAAGTCAGAGAGGAGTCTTGGGCGTCAAAGGAGCCAGACCTTTCTCAGAGCCCGGACCCGTGTTCACGTTGAACCGCAAATGTGTTTGGGGTATTTGAGTAAAAAAAAATCACATTTACCTTGGAAAACAGAACCGGGAGACTGCAGCGGAGGCCCACGGGAGGTTGGCCTCGGATTCTGTCCTGAAACCAGTCATTTGATTTCTGGGCAGTTTTGCAGTTTCCCGGAGGAGAGGCCAGCCGCTGACCACGCGGTGAGCGTGGGTCCTGCTGTGGAGCCCCCAGGCCCAGCTGTGTATCCGCTACCTCCCTCACTCCTCACTCCCACGCATAAACCTCGGACTGCTGAGTCGGGAAAGCCCGCACAGGCTCGAATCGAATCACCTTTGTTTATCGTCTTTGTTTTTAGGAGAAAGTAACTGTAGGCAGGACAATGGGCATGTGTCCCTCTCCCGGAGGCAGCCACCTGCAGGTGCTCCGATGGGCTCGAGGCCTGGCAGCTCTGTGCCAGAGGCGGGCGGAGGCCACGTGCAGGAGGGCCGTGGCATGGCACAGGAGTGCGGCCACCCTTCTGCTCCGCAGAGCTCTGCTTCTGCCTGGGAACAGCTCTTGACCCTCCGTGGCCAGGACTGGGGTTCATAGGTGTCCCCAGATTCTGCAGGCAGTCGCTGGAATCAGGATCCTCTTCTCCCTAGGACATTCCCCAGGAGAGCGGGTCTCGGGCTTCAAGGGACGGGTCAATGAGAGCCCAGCACCGAGTGGGCTCAGCGTCCAGCACCATGACCTCTCTAAGCGCTATTTCTCTCTTCTGCACAGAAACCCGCGCGGACCGCAGTAAGAAGCTCTTCCGGCACTACACGGTGGGCTCCTACGACGGCTTCGACACTTCCAGGTAGGACGCGCGTCTCCCTGCCAGGACCTCTGGTCACAGGCTCTGTGCGGCGTGAGCGCTGGGCCAAGTCGCGTGGAGCGCGCAGGCCCCTTGATCTGCTCCCCGGTGTGTCCCCTCATGGGCTTGCGGAAGCCACTGTCTTCCAGAGAACCTGCCCGTGGAGTGGCCTGTGTGGCCCCAGGGCCTGGGTGGAGCAGGAGGCGGGGGACGCAGTGAAATCTAGGGAAACAGCAGTCCAGAGGCTGGGCGGTCAGCGGCCTGGAGCGTCCCCCATGGGCATGTCCCCCTGGAATGTTGTGGCCTTGCGGGGGCCTGGGTTCTCACCTCAGGGGGTTCCCCTCTCCGTTTCTGCCACTGCCCGGGCTTCCCTGGCTTCCTGTTTGTTGCTGAAGGCCCTTCCCCTGGGGGGGATACTGGGCAGGCCGTGGGGGCTGGTGTGTTGTGCAGGAGCCGTGCTCATCCGGTGGCTAGGCCCGAGTGGGGCCAGGCAGGACTGTCCCGTGGAGATGAGCACTCGCCGTGCCCGGGGCCGCTTGGGCCCCGCCCTCCGCCCCCCACTCAGCCAGGTGGGCTGTGATGGCCAGGTGCTGCATCCCCCCCCCAGAAGCTCAGTGAGCAGCATCTCTCCTGGCCACTGCGCCCTTTGCCGCGTCCTTGTGTCCCCGGCTGCAGGTTCCTCTTTCCCTTCATTTCTGTCCTAAGCCACAAGTGTCCCTTGGCTGTCCCTGCTGCCATGCTGGGTGCAGGGGCGAGGGGAGCCCACACCCCACAGGGGACTGGGTTGACGGGAGCCGGATGTGGTGCAGGGAAGGGAAGGAGGCACAGGCATGTGCTGGCGGCCGACCGCGGGCCTCTCCGAGAAGCCCAGCAGCCAGCCCTCCGAGGAGCAGGACCCGTCTGTGGAAGGGTCCCAAGGCCCTGCCCTGGGTCCTGCCTGACCCTGGGGTCTGTGAGGAGCAGCTCAGACCTGCCCTGACTCCTGTCTGCCTGCCTCGGGACCGGCCCAGTCGGCGCGGGTGACCCCTGAATCACGCGGCTGACCCCTGAATCACGCGGTGGGCGTCTGCTGTGCCGAAGTCCGTCGTCTTGCGGTGGCTTTCTGTTTCCGTCAGGGTCTGAAGCCCTTTCCTCACCCCAAGGGGGTGCCCTGTCCCCACGAGCGGCCGTGCCCATTCCCCGCCCCACGGCCCCTGCAGCCCCGCTGAGCCTCCACACGGACTCGCTGCCCGGGGCCTGACGTCAACAGTGACAGTGCAGGGTCTCTTCCGACTGGCCCCTCACCACGCCCGATGCCCCCAGGGTCCACCCTGTTGTGGCAGGTGTCCACGTGGTGTTCTTAGGGGCACAGTGGACATGTTGCCAGGTCCCCACCTTGACCGTGTCTGGCGCACCCTTGCCTGCCACCCAGCCGTCACCCCCTCCAGGCCTCTGTCCCCAGCCTGGAACCTGCCCAGAGCCTGGTCCCCAGCCCTGCACACACACGGGGTTTGTCGCGTCAGGTCCTCGAGGTCCGCCCTGGGCAGGGTCTCTTTGCGTCTTGGCGCTGCGGCGCTCCATCGTGTGGACGGGCGGTTTCTGGCCCCCCTGGCCCCCCGCTGCCCTGGGGTGTGGCACCATGGGCTCGTGTGGCTGCTGCCCAGGGAGACCCCAGGCGGGAGCTGCTGGTCAGACCTCCACCGCCCACCAGCCGTGCTCTGCCCTGGGCGCCAGGGGGTGCACATCCCAGGTCTTGTCCCACTTGCCCACCTTGGGACCTGGGCGCCATTGGTGACCTGCCCGTGAGCAAAGTCCAGAAAGAGACCTCAGGGACACCGCCTCCAGGGAACCTGACACTGGCTCTTCCCGACGGGTCTTGACCTGGGCAGAAGGGGTCACTGCAGAGAGCGGACCTGCTCCATGGGCCACCTGCCTGTGTGCTTCCCTCCTGGCGAGGAGGGTCAGGGCAGAGCCAGCGGCCCTCAGCGCCCAGGGCTCGGGGAAGTGGACAGAGCCGTCACCAGGGCAGAGCCGTCACCAGGGCTGCTTGGAGGCTCCAGGCAGGGATCCGGGGTCCGGGTGAAAGGTGCCCTCTGGAAGCTGAAGGGCCCTGGCTCAGGCTTTAGGGGTGCCGTGTCCCCAGAAGGCCCGTGGTCTGTGGGGCCCGAGCCCCAGGGGGGCATCGGCTGGTGTGTCCTGTGCCTGCACACACCTGACACGTGACACAGGTGGCCCTCCGCTCAGGGCCACTGCCCAGGGGAGCCAGGGGAGGACCTGACTTGATGGAGTGGGGAAGGGGAAGGACGTGGGCCGCTGCCTGGGGTCCTGGGCAGGGGCTTGTCACAAGCCCAGGACCAGAACACACGGGGCCCTCGTGGCTGTGCAGCCAGAGTGGCGTCCTTGTGGGGTGACAGCTGCTCCCTGGCGGACGAGGTGGAGCTGGGTACTCTGGTGCCAGAAGGACCAGTGAGCTCCGAGGACCTGCCACCTGACCTGCCGTCCTGTTGGCTGTGTCCAAAGGTTTTGTTCCTTGTCTGTTCTGAGCTCCGTGGCAGAGGAGAGGGACATCCAGGCCACAGCGGGGTCAACAGGAGCTTCTAAGCAACGGGTGGAAGGTTCTAGTCCTGGCTCCCAAGCCACCCTGACCCCCATGGCAAAGGGGCACACAGCTGCGGCCACCACCCGCCTCCTGGTGGCCCCTCTCCTCTTCTCCTCCGGGTTCAGCCTCTGAGCCTGGTCACCGCACTCTGAGGCTGCCCCTCGGCCACCTTGTAAAGCAGGGGTCGTTGTCCACTGGACAGACAGACCCTGAGGTGGAGAGGGGAAGGCCAAGTTGTGGGCCTGCCCCCGTCCCATGAGCATCTGAACCCAAGAGTGGAGCCTCCCTGCTGAGGCCAGGAGTCCACTGCCCAGAACTGGCCTGGTGCAGGGAGGACAGGGTCATCCCCCCCTGAAGCAGCACCGGGAGAGAGAGCTCCCCTGCTCCGCGCCCGTCTGGCCCCTTCCTACCCGCCCTGGGATGGGCCGAGCAGTCTCCTGTGCTCAGAGCCAACAGGACTTTCCTTGGCCACTCTGTGGCCTTGGCAGGGCGTGGAGGGCAGTGAGGGAGCTGAGGACAAAGGCACGGGTGTCACGAGCCGTCGGACGAGGTGGATCTGGAGTGGACATGGGTGGAGGCTGTTCTTGCTCCTGATTGAGCAGCAGCAGGAATCTGGGCCGTGCCCACTGCAGCGCGGGCGCAAAGCCACCAGGAGTTCATCAGCCAATTCAGAATTCCCATCAGAAGTGGGCAGTGAGCAGCGCAGCCCTCCCGCCAGTCAACACCCGCCAGGGCAGCGGGTTACGCCCGGGCGGCGCGGAGGCCCAGCCTCCCCTGCAGAGGCAGCCGAGATCAAAATGCAGTGGAGGCCAGCTCAGCGAGATGTGTCCTCCCCCAGCCAGGAGGCTCCTCCTCTCCCGCCCCCTGGTGTCCACGGAGGCCTGGAGGCGGAGGCCAGTGTGTCCAGTCGCTCCAGCCAGTGCCCTGGAAAGCAGGCGAGGGAGGGATCTAGACGGGGCCACACAGTGGAGGTCAGGCAGCAGGGTCCTGGGCATTGTCCCCCTCGCAGGAGCCTCAGTCTCGCTGTTGAAATCCCACCTCAACTCGGGCCCGGGAACTGCAGGCCCCCGCTCCTCCTAGGTCAGGTCCCAGTCCCATGAGCACGGGACACTCAGGAGGAGGCTCCTGCGGGGGCCTAGGACCTCGGGATGGACTCACGCTAGGTCCATGGACCCTCCGGCCTCGCTCCACCCATCCACAGCCCCTTCCACTCACCCTCTATCCGACCATCCTTCCCTGGTCCATCCATCATACAACTGTCCTTCATCCAGCCAGCCGTCCCCTAGCTATCCACCCATGCCCCCTCCTGTCCAGCCGTGCATCTGCCTGTTATCCGCTCACACCCGTCCTGCCCCCACCTGCCCACCCATTCTCAGTCCACCCACCCACTCGCTCTCCGCCGGTTTGGCCAGTATTGTCAAGAGGCCGCCTGGACCTTGGGGGCTGAGTCCGGCGAAGGGAGGACAGTCAGCTGCAGGCAGAGAGCTCCCCCCGAGGCCGACGGAGGCTGACGCACTGAGCCACTTGGCCGCACTTCCCTTAGCGCCCAGGGGGCCGGTCGGCCAGCCCTAGGCGGGGAGGCAGGGACGGAACCTCTGAGGAAGGGACTTCTGCTTGACACCTGAGGCTGAGGAGGAGTCGGTGCTGTGGGGGCAGCAGCAGGGGCCAGCTAGGAGGCCGGCGGTGGTATCCGGGGAGTCCTGCGCTTCTAGAAAAGTCTGGAGCCTGTGAAGCAGAAGCAAGTGGCCGGTGGAGTGGTGGGACGGGCGGGGCCGAGCAGGACACCCGTCTCCCAGCCCAGCAGTGTGGTGGGGCTGGCGGGAGGCCAAGCCCTGGCGGTGAGCGGAGAGGGCGGCTGGGCTCTGCGGTTCCCTGGGAATCCCAGGGAGGAGCTTCCTGGAAGCAGGTGGCACAGACCTGGTCCTGCAGGTGGCCGCTCCTCCTGTGCCTCTGGCCACACTTTGCACGGGGTGGTCAGTGCTCCCAGGCTGCTGGGAGGGAAGGGACGGGACAAGCGGTCACTGTCCCTCGGCCTCTGTAAAACTGGCCTTCAGGATTCATGCAGAAGGGTTGCAAGCTGTGCCCGTGGCCCTTCGTATTTTCATGGTTTTCGAGCATCATTTTTATATTTTGTAAATTGGAAAGTGGAAATAGATACATGGGGTAGAAAATCAAAATGTGCAGAAAATAGAGTGTGAGGAATAGATCTCTCTCCCAGCCCAGCCCCAAGTTCTCCTCCCCAGACAGAAGCTTGGTTGCTGGTTTGCTGAGGATCTTTCTAGAGACAGGCTCTGAATATAGAAGCCTATATGTGTATTATCAGAGCCTGACTGAGTCCCTGAAAAATAAGTTGTCCCAAGTTTTCTCCCAGACTTACCTCTGTGTGACCTTGGGCAGCTCACACACCTTCTCTGAGCCTTCAATT